TACTTAGTTTTAACTTAAACTGGTTGGGAGAAGTACAGTCTTTAACATAATTGGGAAGGTCATTCCACATTCTGGGTCCCTTGATTTGTAAAGCATTTATAGTTTGACTAAGTCGTACTCTTGGAATATCAAATAGATATTTGTTTCTGGTGTGGTGCTCATGGGATCTGTTACAACCTTCTAGGAAGCTTTTAAGATCAGGATTGACATTACAGTTCAGCGTTTTATATATATAAAATACACATGAGAGGATGTGCAGGGACTTAATATCTAACATATTCAGAGATTTGAGTAAGGGTACCGAGTGCTGTCTGGGGCCAGAGTTGGGTATTGTCCTAATTGCAGCTTTGTGTTGAGTAATTAGAGGACGTAAATGATTTTGGGTAGTAGAACCCCAAGCACAAATACCATAGTTGAGATAAGGATAGATGAGAGAGTAATAGAGCGTTACCAGGGCAGGGCGAGGTACATAATATCTGATCTTAGAAAGAATGCCAACAGTTTTTGAAACTTTTTTTTATATATTTAGAATGTGTCCCTGGAAATTCAGCTTGCGGTCAATGAGAACGCCAAGGAATTTGCCATCTACTTTGTTACAAATTTGGGTATTGTTAATCCTGAGATTTATTTGATTTGAGGATTTATTGCCAAACAAAATATAGAAAGTTTTGTCAATGTTGAGGGTGAGTTTGTTGGCAGTTAGCCAGTGATGAACTTTATTTAGCTCAGTATTCACTGTGACATTTAGAGCAAGAGGGTCAGGACTGGAGTAAATGAAGGTCGTGTCGTCAGCAAATAGAATTGGTTTGAGATGTTGGGAGGCATTTGGAAGGTCATTAATGTAGATGAGAAAGAGGAGAGGGCCAAGTATGCTGCCCTGAGGAACACCGATGTTGATGGGTAGGGTGGGAGAAATTGAATTATTCACAGAAACATATTGGAGCCTGTCAGTAAGGTAAGATTTATTAAGGTACTGCAGGGAGTTACCTCTGACTCCATAATGATGTAATTTAAGAAGAAGGTTTTGGTGGTTGACAGTGTCAAAAGCCTTACGCAGGTCTACAAATAACCCAACAGGGAACTCTTTTTTATCAAGAGCTGCATGTATCAAGTTAATCATACTAATAAGTGCATCGTTAGTGCTTTTTTGTGGTCTGAAGCCATATTGACGATGCAAGTCTGAAGTCCATATGGTCTGAAGCCATATTATGATGCAATAAATGTTACGATGAGTGAGGATGGTGTTGTGGTGTGTTGCTTAATGCTTCCTTCTTGCATACGGAATGTGAGACACCTACTCGATGTGATAGCGTCTAATATGAACAAATGCACAAGGGGCCGTGATGAGGCTTCGAACCCCTCATCACGGCCATTGTCGATTTGTTCATTCGATGCATCACGCTATTGTGATTTCTGTGTGTAGTGTCCAATATGTTTCAGGACGCAGTCTCCAGAAGTTCACTTGTGTTCATATACTATATTAGTACACTTCAGCTTGTCAGCGGCGTACGAGGGTTGTTACAGTAAGTGATAGGACGAATCCAAGTGTTTTTACTGCTTGGTTTACAACTTCTGCTAATTATATCCTATATTGTCTTTTCACCCTTTTTATAGGCCTGGGTAAACGTATTTGTATGATACACAACAATGTCTTCATCCATTCTTGTCGTCATTCAAAATTATCTGGTACCAGAAATTTTAGCCAAATATCCATAGTTTGCTAACTGTAGGTAGTTACTGGGTGATTATAACCTTTCCACCACCGCTGCCCACTGGCACAGTGCCACATGAAAGTCTGATTAAAAAGTTAGAGGCTCGCGGTATTTATTTATTTATTTATTTATTTATTTATTTATATACAAGAAGGTACATTGGGTTTGTGAGAATACATAGCATAGTATTTACAATCTTGTAAAGCCACTAGTACGCGCAGCGTTTCGGGCAGGTCCTTAATCTAACAGATAATTTTAAGTACGTAAATTCTAGCAGAATTTATAAAATAACAGATACATTGCAAGAAAAAAATGAGATGAGAGAGATTAGTAAGTATATTACTATATACTATATTAAGTATTATTATATTAAATATATTATTATTATATTAAGCTATATTAAGCTTGATTAGGGCATGGCTATACCAAAGGAAACAAAGAGTTAGTATAAATTGGACTAAGTCAGAGTGGGAAAATGTTGTAAGTGGAGTGCCTCAAGGCTCTGTCTTATACATGTATATTCCCAGATACAAAGTTGGCACCCTTCAGCCAGGCTCCATCCCATGTCATGGACATATATATGAGTGGGATTGGGCGGTTATAAATAGAAGCTGCCTCGTATGGGCCACTAGGCCTTCTGCAGTTACCTTTATTCTTATGTTCTTATTTGTGGAACCAATTACCACGAAATGTGGTGGAGGTGAGGTCCCTTGATTGTTTCAAGCGTGGGTTGGAAATGTATGAATGGGATTGGATATCTCGGGGAAATTTATAAAGAAGCCGGAGACGAACTAGATCAAATCTACACTGATGGGTCAACTAACCCTGTCAATGGCAGAGCTGACGCAGAATATACTGAAATTAGGAATAATGCCTTTCAACGCAGCAATGAAGAAAAAGCACGTATTGAGAACTATGCCTCTTCAACGCAAGCAAAGCTAACTGCCATTGTTATGTATGCCCGAAACGCTTTGCGTAATAGTGGCTTTAGGCATTGTATGTACTAGCTATACCTATAAGTTAAACAATCCTTGTAAATATTTATTGTATGTATGTACCTTACCTAAATAAAATTGTATTGTATTGTATTGTATTGTTATGGCGTTAAGATTCCTCGAACGAAACACTAATGGCGCAGTGATCTGCACTGATTCAAAAACAGCGTTACAAGGCCTAAATAAAAATCGGGCAGAAAATCATGCGATAGTCGCTGAGATCAAGAGAGCTGTGAGGGTACTAATCAACCAGGGAAGAGTCGTCTAGTTTCTATGGATCCCCTCCCATGTTGGGGCTCCCCTCCCATGTTGGAATATGTGGAAATGAACGAGCAGATGTGCTGGCTGCTGAAGGCGCTGAAGGAGACCACATCGAGTACTTCATACCCAAGACTCTGCTACAAATTAGAGGTATTATCAGGCAACATCACCGTGACAAGGTAACTGAGGAAAGGAGGATAGAAGCACAAACCAGTTAATCTGTACGATGGTACAACATGGTTGCAGCTGGCGATCCCAATCATTATGGACGAAGAGGAGGTGGCCACGGGAGAGAATCAGTAATAGCAAGAATCCGTCTTGGATATAAATATCCATGGAGATTCGGAATGGAAACAGCAGTTGAGCAGCGGAGTTGCAGAATCTGTGATGAGAGTGATGGACACCGCCTTGACCCCAATCAACGTGAATGTGAAACATTAGAAATATGTGTAGAATAATAAACCCCACATTGTTTGAGTTAGGAAAACACTATTTGTCAAATATTGATACTGGTCTTAAAATATTCCCCCATTTTGCACCCGCATGATAACGTAAGATTTTAAGGGTTGATAGATGTTAATCTTCTTGTTTGAGGAGCTGTTCACTTGAGACAGTTAAGCAAGTCCCAGCTGTGTCTGGGTACAAGTGACAGGATGAACAACCCAGCGGGTTTTCTTTCTATTGGGGAGTGTTGTACATGCTGCTATGGCGGTGTGTCCACTCACAGGATGAGTGGCGCTGCCCAATACTGTCACTATGGCGGTGTGTCCACTCACAGGATGAGTGACGCTGCCCAATACTGTCACTATGGCGGTGTGTCCACTCACAGGATGAGTGGCGCTGCCCAATACTGTCACTATGGCGGTGTGTCCCTCACAGGATGAGTGGCGCTGCCCAATACTGTCACTATGGCGGTGTGTCCACTCACAGGATGAGTGGCGTTGCCCAATACTGTCACTATGGCGGTGTGTCCACTCACAGGATGAGTGGCGCTGCCCAATACTGTCACTATGGCGGTGTGTCCACTCACAGGATGAGTGGCGCTGCCCAATAAACTCGCCCCTCGGGTCAAAATTAAAAAAAAAATGGGTGGGTATAAATAGGCGCTGCCTCGTATGGGCCAGTAGGCCTTCTGGCGTTACCTTTATTCTTATGTTCTGACGTGTTAAGGATGTGTAATACACTCCATGATGTGTTAAGGATATGTAACACACTCCATGATGTGTTAAGGATATGTAACACACTCCATGATGTGTTAAGGATGTGTAATACACTCCATGATGTGTTAAGGATGTGTAACACACTCCATGATGTGTTAAGGATGTGTAACACACTCCATGATGTGTTAAGGATGTGTAACACACTCCATGATGTGTCAAGGATGTGTAACACACTCCATGATGTGTTAAGAATGTGTAACACACTCCATGATGTATCAAGGATGTGTAACACACTCCATGATGTGTTAAGGATGTGTAACACACTCCATGTTGTGTTAAGGATGTGTAACACACTCCATGTTGTGTTAAGGATGTGTAACACACTCCATGTTGTGTTAAGAATGTGTAACACACTCCATGATGTATCAAGGATGTGTAACACACTCCATGATGTGTTAAGGATGTGTAACACACTCCATGATGTGTTAAATATCAGTTGGCGTTACTTGTCACATATTTTCCTCCTCCAACATGTTTCACTCCATCATAGAAAACGCATCAGATCAGCTGATTTTTGCAGACACCTTGCGTTATGTTTCGTCTGTTGCTTTTAGTTTTATTTAATTTGAGAACTTGAGAACTAGAAGCTTCATTTACTTAAAATTATTATACCTGTAAAAACAGAAGTTAAGTGTATTTTTTAAACGTACTAATTTTCGTACTGGGAATAAGTTGGGTGAAAATGATCGGATAAAGTTAGTAGGAGAGGGAATAATTATAAGAAATGTTGTTAAGTTGTGAGAGTGAACGAAGATAAGTGGGCGGCGTGTGTTGGTGTCAGACGGGAGCCCAGCCGCTCTCCCACCAGCAGCAGCATCACTCCCACACACATCGATTTTCCTCCCCTCTCCCACCTCGCACACCCCAGCTACTCGCTCCCAGGGTGAGTTACTGCTCCACCTGGAGGCTGTGAAGGGGGCAGAGGATAGAGTGGACGCCTGGGGGTAGCGGCGTGGTGCTGTGTGGGTATTGGAGGCATTGGTCAATGTTTTGAACGCTCCCTCGTGTTGTGTATTCATATGTGTGTATGTGTAATGTTGGTGTGTATGTGTGGCTCTGGCCTCTGGATGTGTACTCCGGGGACCTCAACATTTATCGGTTGGTTCTGTTACCGTAGCGTAATTGGCCAGGGTGTGAGGGTGGTAATAGGGGAGGATAATTGTGTATGATGCTGACTTGTGCAAGTTCATGGTGATGCTTGAGGTCTACAGGGACACGAGCACCACACTGGACCACCACTCAAGTATCTGAGTTATCTTTGTTATCATATATTGTAGTACAGGAATGCAGAGCTGTGGGGGCCCTGTTATTATGGGCCCTTACCTAAGGTTTGTGAGTTTATTACTCATAAACCTTAGGTAAGGGTTAATTATTCCGAGGATTTCTCCCAGTTACCCCTCTAGGAGAGCTCTGGGCACTTGTGATTGTTGTAGATCACTTCTTCCCTAAGATAATTGCCTACTCTACTCAGCCTGGTCAAACCTAACCTAAAATAACCTGACTAATCAATCTACAGGGATACTGTTTTTACAATTGGGACACAATCTTTGTTAAACAAGGGAGCCAGTCGGCCGAGCGGACAGCACACTGGACTTGTGATCCTGTGGTCCTGGGTTCGATCCCGGGCGCCGGCAAGAAACAATGGGCAGTTTCTTTCACCCTATGCTCCTGTTACCTAGCAGTAAAATAGGTATCTGGGTGTTAGTCAGCCGTCACGAGCTGCTTCCTGAGGGTGGAGGCCTGGTTGAGGACCAGGCCACGGGGACACTAAAGCCCCGAAATCATCTCAAGATAACCACCTGTGTATGATTTGACTACCCATTTCTGATGTGGCTTATGAACGATGTGCTAAACCATTTCCTGCTTCATTCAATCATGAGAGAAAACGTGCAGTAGTTTTTCAGACAGTAATTTTAGAATCGTCTAATAATAAACTGCTACCTATCAACTCGGTAAAACATCTAAACTATTGGGGCCGACTAAAGAGCCTAAATCTGTATTCTCTTGAGTGCAGGCGGGAGAGATAAAGCCAGGAGGCATGGCAGGATGTGCAGAATACCCCCGTTGAAGAACAGAGGTGCAATAGATACTCTCAGAGAGAACTCTTATCAACATCAGAGGCCCGAGACTGTACAACACGCTTTCACAACTGGCAGACCCCTCACAGTGTTCAAGAGAGAACTGGGTAAACACCTCCAAAAGATACCTGCTCAATCAGGCTTTGACTCATACGTCAGGCTGCGAGCAGCCATGTCCAACAGCCTGGTTGACCAGTCCAGCAACGAGGAGGCCTGGTCAACGACCGGCCCGCAGGGATGCTAAGCCCCAAAAACACCTCAAAGTAACCTCAAGGTAGGTAAGGTATCTGGAGGATTGCTGATGTTGTACTGTGTCTTGTATACAAGATCATGAAGTATGGTGATGAATGGATACAGGATTGGATAACATTGTATAAGCATCATACAATATCAGCATAGTGATACTGTATTAGTATCTGTCTCCATATATACCAGGGCCCATTAGACTTACATTGACAATCCTTGGGCAAGTGTTCTTACCCAAGACTATTTTCAATTTATTCTAAAAATTGCTGCATTTTTTTATGTGGTGGCATCACCCACACAAACACTGGGTTCACTGCTGCTGAGCTTCCTCCGCTGACAAACAGTTAGGCACATTACCTTTTACCTGATGCCTCTGTTTACCTAGCAATTAAATTGGTACCCAAGACTCATGCTGTGAGCCAACAGATCAAGCTGGAGGTTTGATGGCTCCTGTGCTAATGGCTCAGTACAGTGAACTATCAGGTCAGGCTGTTAGGTATCTTACAGCTTTGTATACCCACTCGCTGGTGATGTATAGACCAATGCTGCTTACCCATTGGCTGAGTAAAACATCCTACTCCGGCAAAATGTCCCCGACATAGGCCTTATCAAGAATATACAATTAACTGGTGAAGATCTGACCACGTGCAACACACTGGCAGTGATGGTGTTGTAAAGATGTGATTAAATCACTAGAAATCCAAGAAGAATGTGGACCACTGCAGCAGCAGCTATGTGAAAATTAGAACAAGGCACCAGATTGAATGTATTGTATTGTATGAAGAATGATATAGGTAGATTCTTTTGAGAAACCTGGAGATACTAGTGCAAGGCATCGACAGAACAGAGGGTTACCGTACCTTGAGGTGATTCCGGGGCTTAGCGACCCCGCGGCCCGGTCGTCGACCAGGCCTCCTCGTTGCTGGACTGGTAAACCAGGCTGTTGGAAGTGGCTGCGGTATCTTGGACCCCAGTACAGTATGTACGAACCATGCCTGATATAAGATAGAGCACTTGGACTGGACGGTAGAGTAACAGTCTCATTTCTTGCAGGTTGGCATTCAATTCCAGATCATTCAAGTCCTTGGCACCATTAATCCTATCCTAAATCCTTATCCTCATATCCCTTCCTCACCTTGTGCAGGCGATGAGTCACAATAACGTGGCTAAAGTATGCTGACCAGACCACACACTAGAAGGTGAAGTGACGATGATGTTTAGGTCCGTCCTGGACCATTCTCAAGTCGATTCATTCTCAAATCGACTTGAGAATGGTCCAGGACGGACCGAAACGTCGTCGTCCCTTCACCTTCTAGTGTGTGGTCTGGTCAACCTTCCTCACCTTACCTACACTTCCCCACCTCGGTGCCCTGTGGAGCCTGGCTTTTCAGGCAAATGCTGACCATCATGGACTGTAAATTTTAACTTAAAATGGAGTGTGTGTGTGTTTATTTACTAGCATATTTAATTATTTATGTTGATATTCTGCTCATTAATGGCAGTATTATTTCAGGTACAGTATTTCCTCACTGAAGTTTTGTTATTAGTCTACCAAAGATGGAGGGCAATGGTAGTAATTCAGGTCTCAACATGGAGTCCATATGCAGTGCAAGAGGTGACAAAAAACAAGATCAGGTTTGTCTCAATGTGTATTTGTAAGGTCAGGTTAGTCCGAATGTGAATTTGACAAGCTCTCAAGTCTTCTGAACATGTGTTAAGAATATTACTCTCAAATGCAGACGAAAAGTCACAATAACACGGCTGAAAAATGTTGACCAAGCCACACACTAGAAATTGAAGAAACGACAAAGACGTTGTCGTCTCTTCAATTTCTAGTGTGGGGTTTGGTCAACATTAATCTCAAATGTTCAGTTATATAATTTGTTTATTGAGTGCATGTAAACATTAGCAGCTCTGACCCATTATGCATTCAGTAGTAATACTGGCATGAACATTTTGGGAAATCTATTGAAATGTATGATACAGGGTATGATTTTTTTTTACTCGTGAAAAATTTCTTGCCATTTATTGCCCCAGAATAATTAAGTGTACATTTTATACTTGTAACACAAGTTGTATAGGTAACTTTACTGTAAATACTTATTATTATACTGTATGTAAATTTTTTTTAGTATTTTTAAATTAAATACTGTACTGTAAATAAATTTTTATATATTTTTTATGTTTTGCTAATTTTGTATTATATATTTTCTTCAGGTACTGCTTCAGCCCTTCATTTATGTGCTCCAAGTTCCTGGGAAGATGATCAGAGGAAAACTTGCTCAGGCTTTCAATTATTGGATGAGGATTCCCGAGGACAAGCTTATGGCAATATCAGAAGTTATCCATATGTTACACAATGCGAGTCTCTTGTAAGATTCATTGGATTTCCAAGTTCTTAATTATATTTTTTTATATGTACAGTGCTTTATAAAACTTCCTGGGCCCATCAGTTGCTCCCTGAAGTAATTATTACCCGTGTAGTTAGCGGGTGACACCATCCTCATGGTGTCCCGTCTTCCCAGTACTCTTTGTTGTATAACGCTTTGAAACTACTGTACTGATGGTTTTGGCCTCCACCTTCTCACTTAGTTTGTTCCAACCGTCTACCACTCTGTTTGCAAAAGAAGTTGTTCTCTTGTTCGTGAAGTTGCTGGTTTCAGGAATTCCTTTTTGTCAATTTGGTCTCTTCCTGTTAGTATTTTGTTAGTGGTGATGATACAGTATCACCTCTCTTCTATTTTCTAGTTTCGGCATGTTTAACACCTCCAGTCTCTCCTCGTAAATCTTGTTTTTCAGTTCCGGAAGCCATTTTGTAGCATGAAGTTGCACCTTTTCCAGTATATTTATGTACTTAAGATTTGGGTTCCATACAACTGCTGCATATTCCAATTTTGGTTTCAAAAAAGTCATGAACAGTTTCTTTAGTATTTCACCATCCATATAAATAAAAGCAAGTCTGAAGTTGGAAAGTGACATACGCTCCTCTCACAATGTTCTGTGTGTTCCTCTGGCGACAACTTATTATCCAAAACCACCCCTAGGTCTCGTTCTTTTTTTTTTGAGTTCTGTAATTCCTTTCCACATAATTTGTAAGTTGTGCGTTGTCTATTTTCTCTGATTCCATATTCCATAAATGGTATTCATTCTCATTGAATTACATTTGCTACATGACACTCCAAGCACTTATTTTATCTAGATCAATTTGAAGAGCATTACAATCATCTGCATCGCCTATCTTCCCCACTGTCTTGGCATCATCCGCAAACATGTTCATATAAGTCTGTATTTCTTCTGGTAGATCGTTTTTTGTAGACGATGAACATTACTGGTGCAAGAACTGAACCATATGGTACTCCACTAATAACGCTCCTCTAGTCAGATACATTGTCTCTAATTACTGCCCTCATCTGTCTGTCAGTTAGAAAATTTTTCATCCATGTAAGTCTTCCTGTCACCCCTCCATCATCAGCCTCTTATGTGGGACTGTATCAAAAGCCTTTTTTAGGTCCAGATACACAGTCAACTCAACCAGTCACTCAACAACTCAGTGGCCTCGTAGCCTGGTGGATAGCGCACAGGACTCGTAATTCTGTGGCGCGGGTTCGATTCCCGCACGAGGCAGAAACAAATGGGCAAAGTTTCTTTCACCCTGAATGCCCCTGTTACCTAGCAGTAAATAGGTACCTGGGAGTTGGTCAGCTGTCACGGGCTGCTTCCTGGGGGTGGAGGCCTGGTCGAGGACCGGGCCGCGGGGACACTAAAAAAAAGCCCCGAAATCATCTCAAGATAACCTCAAGATAACCATCTCATTCCTGTAGTATCTCTGTGGCTTTATCATAAAAGCTAAGTAGATTTGGTACACAGGGTCTTTCTGTTTGAAAACCATGCTGTCTGTTCGTTATTATGTCATTTCACTCTAGGTGTTCAACCCATTTGACTTTAACTATTCTTTCTAGTGTTTTGACTGCGATGCTTGTTAATGACACGGGCCTATAATTTATGTTTGCCTTTTTCCATATATCTGCTAAGATTCCTGTGCACAAGGATGTCTGGAATATTTATTGGAGTGGAATGCTCAGTTCAGTTGCACATTCTCGCAGCACCCAAATCTGTGCATGGTTTGACTTTAGCGCCTGGGCCCCCTCTTACCACTTGAGAGATCTCCCCGTTCTCATCCTGGCCCCTCTTCCCATGATGTTTAGGGATTATGCATTGGTCCGTGTGTGAAAACTGGGTTGACAGGTTGGGGAGTATTGTAATTGGTATGAATTTTTGGGACTAGTGTTTCGACTCTGTTAATGATTACTTACATTATTGGGATCAGCATTGCAAATGTGTTCCATGCAATTCTGTTTTGGTGTGCTCTACTTTTCTGGTTGTCATTTTTCTTGGTTAATATGGTGGTCCTGAACCCCAAGGCTTCCCTTTTTCACTATTGAGTGAACTGGGTTCAGGTACAGATCTCCAGTGGACACTTAAAGCCTGGTGTATATTGAATTCTTTACAGGTGTACTAGTGTGTAATTCTGCGATAATAAGGCACCCACAAGAAAGAGACATTTCATTATATAATAGTTTGTTTTGGTTCCTGTTTTGCCCTCCAAACTCTGAGTTTCTATCCTCTTTCATTGGCTGTAGGGCTTATGAGGCTTTGGTTCTCTTACTGATTAATGCAGGGATGGAACCTGGATGAAGTTGGAGTTCATTCATTTAGCTGTCTCTCTTCTCTGGGCCGAGGTTCACCATGCTTCACCACAAAGTTCAGCTTCTATGTGGTGCATGGAGGCAGGCTCTTCCTCTTACCTAGTCTATGGATGGATGAGGGTCTGATTTGCTTTTCCTTTGATCCCTCCTGAGATTGGATTTGTAGATTGGATTGAAACTTCCTGCTTGTCTGGGGTTTCTTGCAACCTTTCCTCATCAGCTTGAAATTGATGACTCGGTACATTTGCCTTGCTGAAATGCTTATGGTGTTTGCATGTCAGGCATGTTTCAACATCAGGTGGAGTTCACTAACCTGGATGGTAGCACGAATGTTGGTTAGAGGCTCTGGTGTTCTTATGCAGTCCTGCATCTCTGTGAACTGTTGTGCTATACCCATTTTTGGCCAATTGCTCAATGCTTTATGATTTGGTGGGGAGACTACTCCATACAATTAATAATTATTCAATCAATGAAACCTAGTGGTCGGATTTTCTGACACATCATGTCAGTGACACGAGTTATCCCTTCAGAACTATTCTATCCGGGTAGAATCTGACAACCAGGTCCTTCACCTAGTTGACGGTGGTGGTAATGCAACATTAAAGTTTTGTTATATGTACTTTGTCCCATAAACTAGGTGTTTATGCAGTGTAATTTCTAGTCTTAAGAATTATTCATGATAGGTTTTTGCTGATAGAAATTAGCAAAGCAAAGAAGTTTATGTAATACATTATTTATGATTTTTTCCATGTGTACTATTTTGTTTATTTTCTCTTCGTTGATTCTTTACAGAATAGATGACATCGAGGACAGCAGTGTGCTCCGAAGGGGCATCCCTGTTGCCCACAGCATATATGGTGTTGCTTCAACAATCAATTCGGCTAATTATGTTTATTTTTTGGGTCTGGAGAAAGTTCTTACCTTAGATCATCCTCAGGTATGATTACAAATACACTAATAATTTTATTAAAAGTGTTTATTTCTTTTAAAGAAACTAAAATGAGTAAAACGTTTTGATGGAAATTGGGCTGAAATACTGGTGTGGATCATTTGTTAGTGTAGTGGGACTAGTTCCCCATAATGCTGCAGTATGTGGAAGGTTGAGGGATATCAGGCGTTGCTCTATACATGAATTTTTAACCGTCTTTTCCTATGATACTTTTCCATCCTTTCCTGGCAGGTGTCTCCCAACCCCATGAGTGGGAAACGGGGTAGTGATGATGATGATGATATTTTCCACAGGCAACTACAGTATTCTGCGAACAGTTGCTTGAACTCCACCGAGGCCAGGGGATGGAAATATACTGGCGGGACTCCTTCACATGTCCGTCTGAAGAGGAATACCGGCAAATGACTATCAAGAGTAAGATTATTAGTTTTTTCTCTGGCAAATATATTTGAAGTTGATGATGAAGAGTGTCAAATAGTCAATAATTCTTGCTAAGGGGGTGCAGCTGTTACCCCTAGGTAGAATGTTGATCTGTTATGCACACTTAAAAGGCCAAAGATGGATGCTGTGTGGATGTTATCTATGCATTTTTCTTTGTTCAGTTCCACTGTTTCATACCAAATAATATTTTACAGATTGTTTACTGTATTGTTTGATTTGGTTGTCTCGTAAGGTAAAATGTTTCGTCAATATACCAGACTTGTGAACCATCAGGCTGGGTCATGGAAGGTTCTTGGGGATTACTGGAGATCACTCGGTCCAATCCAGGATGGTTGGAGTTGGTGAAACTAAGCCGTTCCATGCCTTCTCTTGGCATCGTAAGTGGCCGGCAAGCAAACTACTCATTTGCCAGCCTGGCAACCTTCTTACCCTGTTACCGGGTAGTAGACAAAGGTGCATCTAAGACCAGGTGCTCCTCACATTGTGTGTGTGTTTGGCAGGTGGGGACATATCCATAGTTAGGTTGACTTTTTGTCTTATCCAAAAGTCAAAACTTTGTTTTATCTATATATTATTATTTTATTTTTGACCTTATTCTACTTTGTGCAGGGAAAATAAAGTAATATACAGTACATATATACTAGCACATAGATATATGTATACAGTACTAGTAAAAAAAAAAATATATATATGTATATATATATATATATATTTTACATACGCACACACATACATACAGTGGTACCTCGGAATGCGAGTGTCCCTGTATGCGAGTTTTTCGGAAGACGAGCAGGATTTCCTCAGAAAATATGTCTCGGAAGGCGAGGGTTACCTCGGAACGCGAGTTTGTTGATACGTATGCAGGCCGACTGGCGCGTGGTGGCATGGCGATCGCGCCTCAGTTTACCAGTGTCTCGTATCCAGTGACTATCCCACCTGAATTCTTCACAAGGATTTACAGTTTTTTATCGTTTTTTTGGCCATTTGAGCATAAAAGTTGTCATTATATATCTTGCCATGGGTCTCAAGAAAGCCATTGGTAAGGTTCAACCTAAGAAAATAGCTGTGAGTAGAGGCAGTAGAGGATGTCCCTTCTTGATTAAGAAAATGTGTGAAGTATGGGAAGAACTGCAAAGTTTTGTTGAAAAAACTCACCCAGATAAAGCTGTAGCAGGCCGTTGCATTGACCTTTTAAATGATAATGTGATGTCTTACTACAGACAAGTGTTAAAATGTAGGGAAAAACAAGTGTCATTAGACAAATTCTTAGTAAAACAAGCAAGTCCTAGTGGTATGCAGGCAAAATGTGCCAGAGTGTGCATACCAGTGAAGTCCTCACTGCCTGATGTGATAATGGAAGGGGACTCCCCTTCCAAACAGTAACTCCTCTCTTCCTCCCACCTCCTCACCATCTTCCATACGCCTACAGCATTCAACAGCAAGGTAATAGCTTGAACATAGTTTTATAGGTTTATTTAAATGAATTAGGTATAAAAATTTAGTTTGATGTGGGGTTTTTGGGGTAGTCAGGAACGGATTAATTCATTTCCCTTTATTTCTTATGGGGAAATTAGCTTCGGAATGCGAGTTTTCGGAATACGAGGCGTCTCCAGGAACCAATTAAACTCTTAAACTGAGGTATGCCTGTACATACACTCTCACTCGTACAGTCTATACATATTTACTAGTACAGGAGTATGAAATCATTTGCTATACTGTAGCAAGCCAGGTTTCACATTCTACATAATGTGGCCTTGAGAGGGAAGCTTTCCCCATCCAGGAGATAAATGACTGAGCTACAATAATTTTGAGTACTGAACTGATGTGTGCGTCAGTAAGTTGATGATAAAGCCAAGATTTGTTAATGTTCGTTACAAAAAACTTGACTCTGCTCTTCCAAACATTGACATAATTTTTACAGATACTGTAGTGATAAAATGTGCTGACACACTCAAATCCCTCAAAATAGATTCATGCAGTAAGTAAATTTATATTAGGTAAAATTAGGTTTCATGCTGTACGATAGTGTAGGATTCATTGGTACTACATCTGGCAGTGTTGAACTGCATTCAGTGTAGCTCAGTCAATCCGTCAGTCCCGTGTTTACGTTGAGTGAAGGTGGTGTCACATGTTGTTAGTGATGCTCAAGTTGCTTTGAATACTTTATAGGTTTAATTACTTTCCATTGTTACACGACTTGATAATGGTCCAGGACGGACCGAAATATTGTCATCGTCTTCATTTTCTGATGTGTGTCTGGTCATTGCTAATAAGTGATGTAATTTTTAATAGTAAAGACAGAACACATACTGTATGAATAATAGTGCCAACTCCTGTATCGGAACTGGAGACTCGACTAGCTACCTTAGTTTATATATAGATTAGTGGTCCTACCTAGCTAATTAAATCACATGAAGCACTGCTTATCTTGACTATCACAAAAGGTAGTTCCTGACACACCAAGAGCACATGTGACCCACACCATTCCAATGTTTCTTTCCTAGTTTTCAACATTTACACTTATGACTTCTTGAATGTCCAAGATATACGATTTGCAGCTGTAAATTACAGTATTCTCTTCGTATTTTTTATGCTTTACATAGTACCATACAGTACTTCTTAAAACACTGAACGATTGGTTGAGACACTTGTCCAGCCTCACTTGTCCTTAACTCTGTTTTTGAGACCAGCTCAAATTTCCTGCATATTTCACTTCCACACAGGCGTATGCAAAAAAATAAAAAATATCAGAGGTGCTTTGTGATTAATGCTCTTTTTGCCTATACTGTACAGTATTAGGTCAATCTTACAGCCCTTCCTTACTAATAGAAGTTTCCTGCTGAGCTGGTGAGGGATGTTGACCTCTGACTGCACCAAATGTTAATCAGGGGTCAGTAGTATCTTGCTTTAGGGACCAATCAAGTGGGATCACTCAAAAAAAAAAAATGCATGCGATGGAACATTAGATTTTGTATCTGATGGTACTATATTTTCTTGTCTTTTTCAGAGACTGGTGGACTTTTTGGCTTGGCTATTCGTTTAATGCAGCTCTTCAGTCAGGTTCAAGATGATTTTTCTACTATCACAGGAATTTTGGGGTTGTACTTCCAGATTCGTGATGATTATGCAAATTTGTGTATGAAAGAGGTGAGAAAAAAAAAGTGTAGATATTGTTACTTGAAGTCTGCCAAAGTTACTTGGAATCTGCCAAAATATCTAGGAAATATTCTGATCATCAGGGAAGGGGAAATACTTAAAGGGAACAAAACATCAAACCTATTAGTAGTATAGCTCTGTGGTCTATGTCTTCAGCTCACAATCAGGGGGACAGGACTGAAGTGATTGAACACAGGCATCGGGTAAAAGGAAATGTGCCCATCTAGCAATTAAATAGGTACTTGGGAAATTGGCAATTGGTATTGGATGCATCCTTAGGAAAGTTGGTAGTTGGCCCTATGGACCTCGATAACCCTTAGTACAGGCTTCCTGCCCTGGATAATGGGAATTACGATTCATTTTCACTGTTGTTTTTGTTGGATAATTTGGCAATTAAAGTTAGAACAAAGTTATTTCTGCTCTGTATATATTGACAGAATCTCCCATGTATATACTTATGAAATGTCTATAGAAAGGCAGACTTTCAGTACAATGTAAACACCTAAATCAATTACTATATCGAGATGATGATACTGTTGAATAATAATGCCACTAAATTTAGGTACATTATAGAAAACTAGGAAAGACATCTGTTTTAGACTTAAATTATTTGCTTTAAGTTTGCAGAATACCTTATTATTTAAGGCATAGATATTGATACTTCAATCTTAGGAAATTACTAATTAAAGATAGAAGGTCTATAATAAGTTTTGAGTGATGTTTGTTTCTTAATCCAACAGTATAGTGACAGCAAGAGTTACTGTGAAGATCTGACGGAAGGAAAATTCAGCTTCCCTGTTATTCACGCAATCAGAACACAGCCGGATGACCAACAAGTTATCAGTATCCTTTACTGTGGGTTTTGTGTAATGTATGTGGGAGGCAATTTTAATATACAATCACATTTACAGAGATTCATCCTTGGAAAAACAATGGGGTGAGTTGCACATTATAAAATATACAATTTGTAATCATATAATCTGCTCTATGGCTGAACAATTTTATGTTCGTCGCAAGGTAAGAATGTGTGTTATTCATTTACATAGCCCAGGGAAGAGTACTGCTAGCTAGATTTTTTGCTTGTAGATATATATGTTGATAATGAAGTCATTTCTCATATTAACCAGGAGCTGTTGCTTACAGTTCCTGGTATTAGAACATTATTTACTTCTTGAGATTAAGATTGTCTAATAATTTTTAACTAGATTTTGTATGCTATTCTGTAGTGTACAGTGTGAACTCATTCGAATCAACTATAAGGGGCAGAGTAGATTCTTGGCGTTGGAATTTCATTTGAACCAGGTGGCCAGCTTGGGGAGCCACCGAGGGATCCCACCGGAGTTTAGTTTAGTTCATTTATTATGCACCCCATACCCATCTTGTGGGCGGTAGTGGAAAGGGTTACAGAGGCACATAATGGGCTCAGGGACTGAACCCCACAATTCATTTAGCTAAGCAAGTTACAATCTTGATGAGCTAGTTACAAAATTCAATATAAGTCGTCACATCAACAATGGGTTCGAGATCGACCTCAAGTACAGGAAAAGGTATTTTATTACATTCAATGCTGGATTTTTAAGTTTGATGTTTTATCAATAATGAATTTGTATTCAGCACTGAAATTGTTAGGTATGGACACGGTATGGTAACACATGCGGCAATAATATTCATTTAAGGTTGTCTGTACAGTATATATTTTTCTCAAATGGTTTTTGGTAATATAATTCATAAAATATTTTGTATTTGGGTTAATTTAAAATATTTTCAGCACTGTACACAGGTTTGCTTCAAGTTTGCAGCATCCTGACAGGCTAGCTCAGCTGCAGCTTTGAGGAAAATTTAAATTTCCTTTTTAAGACCGCTCATAACCTAGTTGATAGTGCTATGGCCTCACACGGGTGGGGTCCGCACTCCAAGACCCATACAGTCCAGGTGAGTGGAATGTTTATTTCCACGGAAGTGTTGATGGCAATTTGTATATGGTATTCTTAAATGTGACCTATTGCCATGGCATTCCTCCTTTCACCATAGTAGGTTGTGGAGAAGTGTCTCTGGCTAGGCTGCATACCACCCACATGCACTTAAGGAAGCGAGCCCAGCTGCTCATTGTCTGAATTGCATCGTACCACTTAGTTGTGCACCTTTTCACATAACGAACCGTTTTCACGAGGATTGTAAGTCTTGTGTTCCCCCTCGATAGAATCCTTGGATGAATCGGATGCCTTTGACATTGCTAGTCTTATAACTTTTTACTTTTGCATTTTCATCCTGAGTGATAACTAGGACATTTTGCATATTCTGCAACTTGGACATAAATAAATAAATAGCCTTTCCAGGTTGGTGCCTCTTGATTAGAAGGCACCTTACTTGGTTGTCAAGTTATTGGGTATATGCTATTTTTATCAGCAAGTTTTGCTTCCATCTAAAAAATTATGGTTAATATAGGTGCAGCAAGAGAGGAGACTCAACACAACCTGTCCTGAAAAAAAAAAAAAGAGTTTCCTTAACTGTTATTTAGATATTATCCGACAACGTCCGAAGGACCTAGAAGTGAAGAGGTATTGTGTATCCCTCCTTGAAAAGTTTGGATCTCTACAACATACCAAAGAAACATTGAGGACATTGGAGAGTGAAGCTCGGGAGGAAATTCGGAGACTAGGTGGAAATCCTCATTTAGAGAAAGTTATGGATGAATTACGAAACTGGGAAAATTTGTAATTACAGTAATGCTGATATCAGGGTTTTGCCTCTGGCATGTAGCCTAATTCAGTGCTCAGTTGAAATAAATACATTTCTTTTTACTGTACATGTGTAAGTTAATTTAAACTTATTAGTTTAAAAGGTATAAATTTTGTTTTATACAAAATATAATCTATTGCCAAAGTTTGGTATAATGCTGTACATTTCAATATTTATTTTATATGTTCTACCAATTATTATTTATGAGGACATTTTAAAATTTTACAATGGTCAATATTCTAATGTTTGTATTATTTTTGGGAGAATTTGTTTATTTCATACTTATACAGTAGAACTGTATAGATTGTTATCTGACATGTATATGTTTGCTGAAAATGCTTTAGAATCCAAGGAAAGCAAAACTGAAGTCATTCATATAGTACCAGATGCATTAGGCTTAATTATGATTAGTATTACTTGTCAACTTTTTTTATACATATCTCGAGGGTCTTGATTTTGTATATTAATTTTATAAATACAGCCGAGTGATACCATGAATTTGAGTTTTAATTTGGTAAAAATTGATTTAACGTATTCTTTTGGGAGTTTCGTTTCAATATTAAAATAATTATAAATTTCAAGAATCAAATCAGTCTCCAGAAATAATGCATATTTAATACTGTACAGTACAGTACTTTGAAAATATCTATAGGCTCAATTTACCATGGAAAAAGAAAAAAAGATTCTCTGAAGATAATGTTTTTTAAGAGAAAGCCCCAGCTGCATGATGTACCTCGTAGTTGTCCTCGGCTTATTTGCAGTCCCTTGTCATACTCTTCAACATGGCCCTTCCCCACTTGAGCTCGCATGCTGTCGTGGAGCTCCTACCTCAAAGAGCAAATAAGGAAACATGAAAATGAACGGAGGTTTGCAATGAGGCTCGTTCCTGAATTATGAGGGATGGGGTATGAAGAAATGCACTGAGCTGGACCTAAATTTGCTAGAGAGAGGGGGTCTGAATTAAACGAACAGGTTGTAGAAGTGAACTCCAGCCGTAAACTCAAAAGTAGATAAAGAAAGAAAAAAGTATTCTTCTATCTATTGCATTAAATAACCAGCAGATGTAAAGATTGGGTCAAAGTGCTCAACTTGAGTCCAGCAAGCACAAATAGGCGAGCGCATTCACATGCGCGTGTGTGTGCGCACACTACACATTCATGCAAATTTAAAGCATGCACACACTACATTTGTTAATATATTTGACAAAATTATTAGTATTGGGGAAACATGCTCCAGGAAAAACTAGTTCACAAAGGGTTAATATTGAAAGAGTAATATACAGTAACATCATTCAAAGAATATTTCTCTTAAAAAAAAATCTGCTTCAATAATGGGTTAATTTTTATCTTTCGAGTCATTATTTCCTTTGGTAAATTAGCTGTATTAAGAAAGTGGTTCCTTATTGAGCCTTCTCCAAGATGTGAAGGCTATCACAGGAGCTAAGCAGCCACACCTTGCACTCAAACGTGACAACAGTGTAAAACGTGGAGGCTGCAGATTTTTTTAATAATAACCAGAAATAAACGCAACAATTTCAGTTATGAGCATTATTCATTAAGAGACTGTTGTTAAAACGTTTATGATAAAATTCTACATGATGCCTGTAGAAAGAATGAACATTCAAAGGAATAATTCTCTTTACCATTTAGTAGTGGCTTCCATGGGTGCCCCTACTCAGATAGTCTACTCCATATTTTGCCGGCTCATTTTAAGATAACTATGTTTGGGAAATGGTATTTAATAAATTTACTTGAGCAAAAGTTGTTATACATTTGCTGTTGGGAATTTTAGTTAAGCATGGCAATAATTTTTATAATTTTGCAAAGTTTAAAAAACAATTCCTTCCTCAGGTTTTACAACACATGATCTCCGAGTAATCTAAATCAGTCACATTTTTCAACTTCTCTTTTATAAAGAAAATGTTACAGTAACGCCTCTTGTCGAGAATTCCACAAAATTGAAGGCTTCCCAGCGAGCAAAATATGCTTGAGCAACATTAAATCAATGTAGGTTCAGTGTTGACAACATTGATTCAATGTTAATGACATTGACCTAGATTTTCCTAGGGACATTGTTTGAAAGATGGGGGGGGGGTTGTATTGGTAATAATTTAGCTGTCAGGGGACAATAAACACCATTATTGCTGTTGATAATTAACTACTCTTGCTGCTCCACAGTATACAAACTAAGAATATCATTTTTAATGTATTTGAGTGTTAGGCATTTAAATCGGAAAAATTTTCATATTGTAATAACTTTCAATAAATATACAAGTTAATATTTAACCCACAAGCTAATATTATGCAGTAACACCTAATGTTACAATGTACATTAGGCAGTAACACCGAATGTTCCAATGTACATTGTAACATTAGGTGTAATATTATACATTGGGCCGTAACACCTAATGTTACAGTTCACATTCCATTTGTTTTCTTCAGGGAAGATATCAGTATTATGTTCAAGTCAGTGCTTAGTTATATACAGTACTGATGTTGGTTTTGTATATTCTGTATGAATTGGTGCATCTTTCCAAGACTGACGAATCATAGATAAGTATTTTTGCACGAATCTTGAGATGCACGGAGAAACATGCAGAGAACAGGCACGAAGATGGCAGTAGATACTTCACCCAGATTGATGTTTTTTTCTAATTGAATATTAAATTTATATGCATGAATTCTAAGCAGATAATTACTTTATAATTTTTGCATTGGTCGGTGTTATGACTGCTAATTTTATTGGCATTTAATTGCATGAAAATTATTTAGTATTAAAGGTGTTCATTATTGACTAGTTAATACAACATATAACCAGTGGTGCTGGAAATACACAGTAACACGTCACACGTAAGATTACAACCAACAACAGTTGTATACGCTTACAGACTGGCCATGTTACAGTTCAGCACTGCACTCAAATATTAACTCACTTTATTTTCAATTAAACTAGTTTTGTATTTTGCCTAAATATAAGCTCCTTTAAAATAAGGCTCAAGTTTGATATTGATGAAACCTAATGTTGCAGCAAGCCTTTATTAAATATGCATCTTTGTTCATATCAATCATATGCCTGTATTAACTATGACATCGAGACTGAACCTGGTACTATATGCTGTACTATATGAACCTGGTACTATATATATATATATATATATATATATATATATATATATATATATATATATATATATATATATATATATATATATATATATATATATATATATATATATATATATATATATATATATATATATATATATATATATATATATATATATATATATATATATATATATATATATATATATATATATATATATATATATATATATATATATATATATATATATATATATATATATATATATATATATATATATATATATATATATATATATATATATATATATATATATATATATATATATATATATATATATATATATATATATATATATATATACATATACATATACACACACACACACACACACACACACACACACACACATGCAATTGGTGTGACTTATTATTTTTTTGTGTGTGTGTATTTGACATCTAATTAAATGCTTAACTTTTATAAGTGATAAACTAATTAATACACAGACATGTAACGTGACATAGATTGCAAGGGGCCAGGCACCAGCTGATATGCCTTATATGCTGCAGTTTTAAAGAGCCTGTTTGTAAGCAGTAACTTTGCTTATGAGAATATTTTTGTGGACGCGAGTTTATAAAAATTAAGAATTTTCAATTTGTGCTTCCAAACTCACCGAGTGTTATTAGTGCCTCACTTGTATCCCCCCCATTATACGACTGATGTTGAGCGATGGTACGTAACCCTTAAATGGCTGGCTTATCTAAAAGGTCCTAAATTGTGGCGCACATAACAGCAAAAATATTTTCACAAAATCAAATATAAAGAAATAGCATGTCGTGATTGGAGCACTGGAGGTAAGTGCAGATAGTTATTGGAGCCATGTAAGGGTTAAGCATGTGGGAGGAAAGTTTTCCCCATGTATCAGCACCAATAATATTTTGAAGTGGTTAGCTCAAGGTGAGGGCAAGTTTACATTAAAGCATAATTATTCTTCAGGTATTTTGATAGTGTTACTGTGTATTGACACTGGGAAGTTGTGTTGTTGTTGTCTTCAGATTTAGGATCTGTGATGCAGCAATAACCACACATTCCACAACAGCCAATGCATTTATAAAGAAAGTTTGCATTCAGCTTGCCATTAAAAAAGGGCATCCTGTATCAGACATTCACAAGTGGGTTATAATTATTTTCTGCATTAGACTGCCCTCAGAATACTCAAGAGCCAGAGCCATTATGGACCATGCAGGACTCTTATCCTGTGTCTGGGGGGCAGTTGGTCACAAACAAAAGCTGGTCACAAAGTGACCAGCTTGCAGTAAGCCTAGAGATAAATACCCCTAAATAATTCCCTGTAGGTAATACACAATTAGAAATGAAAAAAAAAAGTTTTGCACTACAAACTACTAAGCATGATCAAACCATACATCAAAAGATGAAGAAATGACGATGTTTCGGTCATCGTTTTGACCCAATAATGGTTCAGGATGGACCAAAACACCGTCGTTTCTTCATCTTCTGGTGTGCGGTTTTGTCATCATATCTTCAGCCACTTTATCGTGATTCATCATCTACTATTAAGTACACAAAGGTTATTTTGGTGGTGTGCGGGCATACAATTTCTCTTCCCCCAGGAGGTTACATCTGTTGGTGATCATGTCAGTATTAAGCTTTTGTCTCCTGTACTCTTTGCCTTCATTCTTTTAGTATATTCAGGGCCCTATTGTGGTAGTTTCAAAATTTGCTCTGGTTGTGTGAGGTTTATTCCTTTATCTATGATCTGACTGTGCCTTTGAACCAACCCAACTTGCTTTGTCCTGTTAGAAGGTAGGGAAGGGGGGTGCTTTCTAATCTGTATCTTGAGTTTTACTGTTTTCTCTGAGGTACCCAAGTAGATTTTATTGCCCGATTGTGTGTGCTGTGGTCCTTGATTGGGTGCCCTGGGTTCCATGGGGGTGGAGCCCCATCCTCTCTCGACCCCAATGACTGGGTGTGTGTGATTCCTGTGATATTGCCTGGTTTCACATGAGGATATTTGTCTTTTTCCTGCTTGGGCACTCTTGTATTTTCCTATTAGTTTTCATGGGTTCCTGGCTATGTGTACTGGCTCTCTGTATGTTCTCTAGCTGTGTGCGGCAGTTCCACCGAGTTCTCTCTAGCTGAATGTGCCAATTTCCCAAATGTTCCCGAGGGTGTGCCCTGGATTCTTTGGCATTGGCTTTCACACATGTGCTCTACATGCACTATATGTCCATGGACTATTGTGTAATCTTTCCTTCATCCTTTATTGTGCTAGTAAATAAATAATATCCCTTAACCTGGTACTTACCCTCAGCTTAGATATTTAATGGCGGTTATGTTTTGTTTGTTGATTTCTCACTTCTAATGGAAGTTTG